GTATGCTGTACTTCTTCTGGCTTATTTTGGACTTCATCCATCGTCTGGTATGTAAAAGACAAAAGACCACGACGTTTCGGAGACTGGATCTATCTCCGTCTTCAGGTGGGTAGGGAAGGATAAAACCTACTCAGTTGGGTCCTTCCCTATCCACCTGAAGACGGAGACAGATCCAGTCTCCGAAACGTCGTGATCTTTTGTCTTTTACATACCAGACGATGGATGAATTCCAAAATAAGCCAAAAGAAGGAAAGAACAAGTGTTCACGGCTTAAAACTTATTGTCATACTTAGAGATCTTATGTTTCAGGGTTATGAAATGTGAACTCTTGCTTCCATTTGAAATAGGAGTCAACTGTCAACTCAACTATAACGCCATCATTCTCATCCTCTTTTGCAGAGCTCGACTCAACTGCCAACCAACAAATGAACTCATCAACAGGTCTGCGGCCCTCGCTATATAGGCTCGAGATGCACCCAAGAGAAAACACCTCCTCCAACAGTCCCACTATTGTTGTCATGGGCGGTTGCTTAGCGATAGCCCTGATATATTTTCAGTGGGAGTGTGCTTACCGAGCATATTGCATAGCAGCAGCTGTACTCGTTGTTTGCTTCGAGGTCTTTGCCTGACAACGGGTCTATACGCCACAATATCAATCACTCAAACTTCTTTTGTTGTTGTATTAACATGTATAAAATACAATGTATCTGTCTGATGTAGCGGTAACGGTCTTGACTCGTATTCGAAAGATGTTCGGTTCGAATCTCAGACGAAATTCGGCTATCATGACTGAGGTATTTCGTGGTTGGTCTCAGTTCCTCCAGGCAAATTCCGGCATGTTACCTACAGTAGGCCACGATTGCTTCCTTCCTAATCCTTTCTAAATTATCATTCCTTTACTATGCATAACTCAAAAGTAAATAAATAAATAAAACTGAGAATAAAGTTTTGAACAACCTCTCACCCTATTGCTTTAAGATTATGAAGAGTTCTGTCTTCTAGGTTATAACACCACGTAGTCCGTAGAAAATTAACCCAGCTTTTAAGGAGCACAACAGCTCCATTTTCAGAGTAGGAATGTAAGCCAAACAAGGAACCAGAACAAAGCAGGTGGAAAGATATGCAATGCTCTGCTTGCTACCTGCTTCATACTTGTTTCGGCTTAGTCTTCAGCCCTGAAGATGGAGGAGGCATCTTTCTCCTGAACGTCGATTGACTTTCAGTGGACTTCACAGCGATACATCCCAGAAGATCACACATAGATCACATCATAACCAAAACTTCAGATCTTATTCTTTTCGGGTTAATTTTAACATGAACCACAAATTCACTCCCAAAAGTGACAAAAAGTAAAAAGATCTAAATAAGATAATATGACGTATATACTCGTCTAACTCCTCTTACTCCTCCTGCGTTCCACCGAAATAATATGACGTTATATAACGCATTGTCGCAGTCGAAGTGTAAATTAAGTAAAAGAGAATTCTAAAGAAGCATACTGTCTCCTGAGCTTATCCACATGTTTGGTTTCTATCCATATCCCCCCCACCCCCACCCACCGAACCGCTATTAAATGTATGAGAAATTTTGCAGTGAGTTGCGTAGTGTTCTGTTGTTACGTGTTCAAGAAAGAAAACAACATTTTTGTATATAAATGCGAAGACGGGAAATTCGGAAGTTTCGTTTAGTTGTCGGGAACGAGATATTTACGACACATGCAAAAGGAAGACGTAACTCCGCACTGTAAATCCCTGGGCATTTGATTTGATCATTCTTGTTTTCAGCGGAACATTTACATATGCAAACAAGAGGGTAAAATAACGGGTGGAGGGATAGAAAGCATTCCCATCCCCTCGATGCGGGTGGGTACATGCTGCAAATGATGCACGGTCTGTCTACGTTGTCCTTGCACTGCTGGGACCAGCCTCACTCCTGCTGTAAAGTTTGCGATTATTTAACAACGCCAATTTATTTGTCATCCCATATAAAGTTGCCCTACCTACCGGGAATTCAATATGCATGAACCTGAATGTATATGTATAGCTACTATATTGTCCGTATAACCCAGAGTTGTTTCTATGATGAATATGAGACGGGACGGGACGGCGGGGGAAGGCCGAACATTAATACTGTGTTATAGGAGCAAAGTGAGACACTGAATGTGACTCATAACAAATATGAAACTGCTTTGTGTATGGATATGTAAGAACGGTTTGCCAGATTATGATAGGTAAGTGTACGTTTACTTGAAATTTATTCCATAGAAAAAGATAAGTTTGTCATAAATACGTCATTCAAGTACTAACGCATAATTCAATTTTTTCTCCATTGGCGCTACAGCCCTCATTTGCGCCTAGGCCTACCTCCATGGAACTCTCCGTTTCACTTCGGTTTTACTAGATCTTATACATATGGTAGGACTCCTTGGGCGAGTGATCAGCTCGTCGCAAGGCCTCTACCTGTACACAAACACAGAAAAAAAGGCACACAAACATCCATGCCCTGAGTGGGATTCGAACCCACGATCCCGGCTTCCGAGCGAGCAAAGACCGTGCACGCCTTAGACCGCTCGGCTACCGTGACCGGCACTAAGGCACAATTACTTATACATAATTAACATAATGTAGTCGGTCACGGTAGCCGAGGGGCCTAAGGCTTGCACTGTCTACACTCGTTCAAAAGCCAGGATCGTGGGTTCGAATACCACTCAGGACATGGATGTTTAGTGTGTGTGTGCGTGTGCGTTTTTCGGTGTTTCTGTACAGGTAAAGGCCTTGCGATGAGCTGATCACCATCCCAAGGAGTCCTACCAAATATCTAAGATCTAGTAAACCGAAGTGAAACGGAGAGTTTCATGGAGGTAGACTAAGGCCCAACTGGGGCTGTAGCGCCAAAGGGAGGAAAAAATGTATGTACATAATTCCCAAATGGTTTTTTCGGATTGTTGCGACTTTTATCCGAATTTTTGTACTAACGAAATACTAGTAAATAAAATTGAGGGTCTTGTTGCACATTTACAATAGTTACACTATTCCTTAAAGTTACAGTAATGAATTAGTTTCGATGTTGTTGTCTCAACCAAAGAAAAATGACGTACTATTCTATACAAACAAAGGAAGTGATAATTTTCCCGTTTATCACTTCCTTGTGTAGGCAACTATCTTATTCCGATTTCACATACTCTGTCCATTTTTTTTCAAAATCGTCCTCGACGTCGGCGTCCGTTCGGTTTATACCTTAAAAGTAAGGCAAAAATTTCCTGTGTTTAATTAGTTAAGCACTACTCCATGATGACGTATAGGGGAGTGAAATTATAGCTCCACCAGTTTCGATATCAGTACAAGGTGGAGGTGAGTGATCGGCTTCAACCCCCGGCCGATTTACACCTGGGGAAATAGCCCCCGATACAAATTGGATGGGAGGCTGGCTGGGCCCTTAGCTATTTTGGACGCTACGGAGAAGAGAAAAATCTTGCCCCTGACCGAAATCGAACCTCGGTGGGCCAGCCAGTATCCAATCGCTTCACCTATTGAGTTATCTCGGCTCTTGGTTTATTCTTTAGAATAATAAAATACAAAAACCTGATAAATTGATGTTTCTTTCCTTGCTCAGCCTTGTCATGTGGAATCATGGGCATAATCAGTATTATAATGAAGTGTTATTTCAACCGGAATAAAACGCCATGTAGTTCAGTGAAATTGCACCACGTTTCTGACAAACATATTGTCTCCATATTCAAGGTGAAGAGCGAGACCAATACGATACTAGAACGCTGTCTGCTTGGTGCTCCTAAACGTCAGTTAAATTTCGCCGGACTGCACAGAATTATAATTTCAGAAGATAGAACCCTTCATAGTCACTGCTGTGAGAACCTCAAACCCACCTTCACTTAAGTGGATTCTGCAGAATTGGTTTGTGACGTTGTGGACTGGATTCGTCTAGCTCAAGTTTGGGACGAAAGCGGATTTTTGTGAAATCTTATTGAATATCCAGTTTTCATAGAAGCAGGAATTATCTTAACTAAGAGACCCCGAAGTACAATGAAGAACATAAGTGCAATGCTAATAATTTGCAATTCATCTTTCAAGGACATCATCCCAGTCGAAGCTAAATAATTCATGCATTTAAGGAGGATTCATTAAATGTAGTATGAAATCCGTAAACAATATCGACGCCTCCAGCAGCCGGTGTGTATCGTGCTCTGCATATTATGGTATAGTGTTTCCCTATTCAATTCACCTTGACGTCTATCTATCTATCTATCTATCTATCTATCTATCTATCTATCTATCTATCTATCTATCTATCTATCTATCTATCTATCTATCTATCTATCTATCTATCTATAGCTGTGTAGCCTTTTTGGTTGGGTCTTGGTCGCTTTTTCAGTCTCTTGACCTTCACTTGGACATACTCTCCCAAAAAGTGATGAAACGGAAATGTAGAAATAGCGGACTCCATCGAGAATGTTATTTTTCAAATGGATGTTTCTACTTTGCATATACCATAGGCCTTGAGATTAAATAGTTTGCAGGTAGATGTATTTTGTATATTTAAAGACTTTGCGAAGCATATCTCAGAAAGTAGTGTCCCTCTATTTTGATACATGCATGCAATAGTAAATAATATTTCAATTAATGAGATATGTTACCTTTCGTGGCCACTTTTAGTACGCAGCAATTTGTTGAGAATTTTTTTATCGGTTTTTTTCGTGTAAAGATGTACTTCTGTAAATGTACAGTAACGTCACCCGACGCATTTTCTTAAAAATACCGTATTCAATTTAAATTCACGTCGGATCTTTAGCTGGAAAGGCGAAACAGACCAACGGAGAGACAGGAATATTCTCCACACTATGCATTTCTTTTATTCCCTTTCTACAAAAATTACAGACTTTAGGTTAAGAGACGGCATAGTATGAACATCTTATTTTGTATAATTACTATGACCTGAAATCATACTAATTGATTACTGAATCGAAAAACGAATACATACAGTTGATTCTTTCCATATACTTACCCATCTAAATGTAGTTCAGTGGAAATGATGATGGAAGGTAAAAAATGTTAAAATTCTATAGGGGTATAGACGTATAGATCCACATTTTCTTGGCCTAGACATTAGTTGGAGTTGACTGGCCAGCTTCAAGGCTCTGCCGCTTTACCCCCGGGGAAAGAGTAACAGGTGTCCTTTGGATAGGAGGCTGCAAATGTTGCTATATTTATCATAATCAGGGCCCGGATTTTGATGACCTGAAAATATTCAAAAAATGACCTATAAAATGACCGAAAAAATCCAGAAAAATGACCTAAAGGAGAAAAGAAAGAACACTTCGCTTCCATGTTATTTACATTTCAGATAACATATGAAGAAAAATTCCCTAAAATGGCCAAAAATGACAAGAAATACCCTCAAAAGTCCAAAAATTTACCAAAAAATTACCTTAAATCTAAAAATGTCAAAAAATTACCTATAAAGTTTACATTTCTGTAACCAGCAGCTCATATCCGAGATTTACATATTTAAGAGCATCGCATAGGATACAAGGAAAAAAAAATGACATGTCGTCAAAATCCAGGCCCTGGTCATAATGAAATACTGGTGTTAGCCAATATCTATGAGAGTCTGTTACTGGAAGTTTTGTCCTCAACAACGGAAGAGCAGCAACGGATACTTATAAGACTCGGATGGCCTGCATAGTTAGGCCGTCCGTGAGCCAGTCTGTCGTTTTTTCTGCTTCATTGAATCTTTAACAACGGAGTCTGCGATTCCACCTGAAAGGAAACGTTCCACCCTTCGTAATGAACCGAAACGACGTAGCTTCTCTTTTCTTAGAGCTACATTTAACCCTTACTCCGTCTTTTTCATCAGAGTCCAAAGAAAGCAGACCAGTGCGACTGAAGACCTTTCTCTTCTCCCATTTTCTTCAAAGACTTCTGAAAGTGTGTGAGTGAGTATGTCATCTAGCTACCCTACGCACTTTAAACTGTAGAGTCTACTGTCCATTCTCTTGCGCACTACACTTTTTGCTTTCCTGAGGGTAAGGATCAATATATGGTTCTTAAAAATGATGTGGGAGAATGACAGAACGTTACGAAATATCGACTAGTAAAGTAAAGAGTAAAGTTGTCCCTGTGCTTTACTAATTAAGCACTATGTCACGAAGGCGAACTGGAGAGTGTATGGAGCGATCTAAGTTTTCTTGACCTCGGTACTAGTTATAGGTGAGTGGTCAGTTTCACGCCCCGGCCGCTTTACCCCCAGGGAAAAAGACCCCGATAACCATTGGGTAGGAGGCTTAGTGGGCCCCAGAGATAATCTGGACGACGTGGAGAAGAGAAAATTCTTTAAACCAACGGGTTTCGAACTCCTACACTTCGATCGTCCAGCCCGTAGCCGATCGCCATACCGACTGAGCTATTCCGTATTTTGTTTAAATTTAGTAGGATGTATTAACTGTGAGTTTTCTTTTCCAGGAGTATAATATTTAGTCCTTTATAAACAATTTTTAATACCTAACTTATTTATGACGGGTAATTACGAGGTGGGCATTTTAGTTATCTTAATTCTAAACCTTTTGGCTTTTAATGAAGGTAACTCTTTCTCATCTCGGCTAATACCGCCTCTCTTGCCTCTAATTCTCTATTGTTATTTCACTCTGTGGTTCAGATGAAATCATAAGACCACAATAAACGTGCCACAGCACTATCTGTTTTTCACTTATGCATAATTGCTCACAACAGTCTTCCTAATAATTTATGCTGGCCGAAACACTGTCCGATTTTAAGCCCTGTTCGCAAGGAATAGGTGGACGGGTGAGATGTTTGCATAAATGCTTTAGTCATCAATGAAAAATAACATACTGTATATAGCGTGTAGTAATTTATAACTCTTGACAAATACAGAGGAGCGCATTAATGTCGTTTGCTACGCAATGCTGCAAATTGATTTCGAAGCCCAAACACAGCTTATTAATAATTATTTATAGCACATAGAGCTGTTTTAGATTGTATCGCTCTTCAGTATCCAGCACCCCCCATCCTCTTCACATTTTGAAGGTTCGGAGAATGACTTTTGGCCTAGATGTCACATCTCTTAATAGAACTTTCGTAGGTTTCCTCAGCCTCTGTAGATAGATTTTGGGATAATTAGTACTTTAAAGCGTCCTATGACTGATATTTTACATGTCTGTTTCAATTTATCATCCACAGGCGTTCTCCAGCCAACCTGTGTACTCGTATATGAGACATAGATGAGAAATCGTCATGAACGAACTAATAACCAACTCATAATTACTGTCGGAAACTGGATCTGTTTCCGTCCTCAAGTGAGGTGGAAGACACCTGCCAGTTTGGATCTTTAGAAAGAGTTAACCTCAATCACTTGTGCAGTGAACGAGGTTAGCTCTTTCTAAGTGACCCAACTGAATAGGTGTCTTCCTTCCTCGCCTGAGGATAGGAACAGATCCAGTTTCCGAAACGTCGTGCTTTCTAGTCTCTAGAATACTGGACGACGGAAAATGTAAAAAAAAACAATAATTCTGAATGTTATACACCATAGTCAGAACTCTTTAGAATCAAATAAATAGTTTTTTATATAACAACAATTATTGTTATATGGAGCCCTACAGACTGTAACCGCTTATGCTTTCGAAGTCAGATCTCTCTTCGAGGCAACACTGCTGGTCAAAGAGTACAACTCATTTCGAGTTCAGCTCGACTTCTGTAAACAGAAGACTGGGTCATTCACTCACCAGCTGATTGAAGTCTGCACTGTACTGAAAAAAACTCTGTAATGCAATGCACTGAACGGAAGTCTGAAACAGTTCACTCTCTCTGCCGTCTCATCTGTTTTAGGCAGCACCCGTAAGGACGAGTTTAAAGTTCTCAGGAGGGATCTCCTTTCTTGTTCGTCAGCTGAAAACCAATGCCAGGTCCAGCTAAAAATACATAATTACACTTTTCTCAAAGAAATAAATATTTTTGGATATCTGATACTGTTTATTGTACTACGAAGTTCGTCAACATTGCAACAAATTGTTCATTCTTTCTTACACTTTCGCTTTCGACACAACATGTTTCGTCCCTAAATGGCCATCTTCAGGTTCCTTACTATGCTAAAACTGCTGCACTGCACTGTTACACTGTAATGTCAGTATAAGTTTCAGTATCAGATATAGTAACGCAACAGGATGCTTAAATACGGGATATTGATATACATATATAAAACTGAATAATATAATTTTCAGACAATAAATACTTAAATACTTCAGACGACTACGGAGCGTATTATTATCAAGACGTCGAGATAAGTAGGACTCTTTCTATATCTGGCACTTCGATCTCCCATTAAGGGTCACAGAAACTTTAACATAACGGGAAAATGAATGGCACACAATGACATACTCGAATTACATATCTGTGTTTTGTCTAGCCAGTCAGTAAGTGTAGAGTGTAATTATAATCATTAGTGTTTGGTGCTAAATATTTATCATTAAAGGTCTTCACACAATTCCTTCATAATATTACAATTTCCTTATTTGACTCCGGCGAAGAGATTGGGATTTGTTGGCAAGAATGAGACAAATGAACACTAGGGCAAATTTACGTTTACGTCAGAATTTTAATGAATTTAGGATGTTCTCAGTTATGATGTTAAATTTCTTTTCTATTAAGTATGTGGAATATCTCCAGTCACAAAACACCATTCTCAAGTGAAAGAAAAAATGGAAGAACGCATATTGCCAAATTTGTCTACCTAAAAGTTTGGCCCTATGAGTAATTTCTAATTGATGAGTGTTTTGCTACAAGTTCTTCCCCAGTATATTTCATATCTACCACTTTTATAACAGATCTGGGAAACGCATTTCTTTTGGCAGACTCACTAATTAAAAAAACAAGTTAAATATCTTTCTAAGTGTACGCTAAGAAACTCTCCAGACAAGTCAACTTTACGAGATAACAACCTACCCAAAAGTTATGAAGAAACATAGAAAATAATTTGAGTATTGAGCTGGAAAGAAAATATCTGCGTGTCCATAGATGATACAACAAGGAATATTTCTAATGCTGTTATTCGGTTCTTGAAAAACGATGATGTGCTATCAGAAAAATAATTTCTTCCGACGTGCCAAGAAATGTCTGTAATGGATCACACAATAACAGCAATGTTTCCAGTGACAGTAAGCAGAGTCGGTGCAAACGGTGTGAACTTTCACAGCGCGCTCTCCTTGGCTATAAATGCTCAACGTACATGAGAGAAGTAGCAAAAGGTCTTCCGGTCAGTTACGGTAAACTGGTACATGTTACGTATATGGGGCATGACTTTCACAGGTTCTGGGAAAAGGAGCATATGCTTCATTTAAATGTAGACAAGTTAGTGACTAATCGAAAGGAAGTGTTTTCGAAGTCGTTTGCTTGAATATAGTTGCAGATTTGCTATTCCTCCTAACTTCAGTAATTGTACGTTTCAGAACTTGGGTGAATACCATTGTGTGTTATGTAAAGAACCTTCTATTTTTTTTATCCGTGATAAATTTAATTTAGGTGACGAAGCTTCCTCTGTTGCAATACTGACAAAAAATTAATCAATAAATAAACTGCGTGCAGTGTCAGAAATATCAAATTCATCATCCGACTGAATTCATCACCGAAGGAAATATTCCCCCGTACTAATTACCCGGATAATATTGGAAGTGGTAGAAATAACGTCTCTCTGTGGGGTATTGGGTTTAACTCAAATTGTATGTACGAGTATAAAATTTTCCAAACAAAAACGGAATTCTTTGAAATATTGCACGAACCTGTATATGTGTGTGTGTAAACTGTCCAAAACACAGAGATGTTTCCACGGTTAGGAGAAAATGAAGTAACATGTGATACGATTTTGTTTGATGTACTAGTCAGGCCGTGTAGTCTAACGACTTGTATTGTGTGGAACAGCCATGATTCAATCTGCCCATTCTATGCCGAGTCTGGTTGCTGCAACAAAAAAAGATAAAGGAGTTAGAGCACATGGTACAGTGCTGAACTGGTATAATTTTGAAAGCATTCTGTGGTACAGGAACAAATTCAATTTGCAGAATACATGGATGTGTTTTTCACTGAGAACAAAAAATTTCTTGAACTAAATAGAAAACGAAATGGAGAAAATTGAGTGATAGTTTCATATCTGAGATTTGAAGGCACACATATAGGGAGGTAGAAAAATAAGGCATTACGTCTGTTCGAGATGAGAGAATATCGACGATAGAATTCTAGTTCAGAAGATAATGTGATGCTGTTACCAAGGAAGATATAGACTGAAAGAAATGTGAACCTGTAAATTAATAGATATCTTTAAGCATATTGAAGAGCTGGTTATATATATATATCTTCGGCTTTCTGTCATAAGGGCTGGACAACTTGGATCTCATATTTAGACTACTGTCAGGCCGCGCTATAGCTCAAGCGGTTAGTCGCTGGCTTCCCACCGCGGCGGCCCGGGTTCGATCCCGGGTCTAGTCAAGTGGGATTTGTGGTGGACAAACTGGCGCTGGTGCAGATTTTCTCTGAGTATTTCGGTTTCCCCTGCCAATCTTCATTTCACCAATTGCTCCACAATCACCCTCACCTATAATCTGGGGCTCGTACAATAGGCCAGAAGTGGCCGCAATACAAGGGGCTTAGTCCCACCACACTGGCAATAAAAAATAGACTACTGACTCCTAAATATGAACAAGAGGAGTCGCACTGCATTATACTGCCTCTCCAGTATATAATTATTATAAAGTATATGCAAGGTCTCAGTACTAGCACCTACAATCCATCAATTTTAAACATGATAGTACATCCATCTATCAGCAATATCATCTGATAATAACCGGAAAGACACGCATCTTAGAAAAACAGCATGAGCGTAAGCGAGATAAGGAAGGAAAACACGATACAGCATTAGCTACAGTAGTTAGGCAGTGACACGTGAGTGAATGTAAAATCATAATTCAATTAAATTCTTATTTATTTACGTGCTAACTCGAGAGCCCAAGAGCCTATCAGAAAGTGAACACGCGGGAAAGAAAGAAACAAACACACACAAAGTATGAAACGAGGCAATTTATAATACCTGAATAATAATGGTAATAAAATAGTAATAATTACAAAAGTCATAATGTGGGAGGTGATAGTAATAATAATAATAATTATAGTAATTCAATTCAATTCGTGTTTATTTAAGTGCAAGCTTAACAGCAAGAGGCCAATAACAAAGTTGGCACGAGTACATAGAAATACAGATATAACTAAAAGACAAAATACAAATAAGACAGTCTATATAATGGCAATAAATTAATAATAATTACAAGAATAATTAAGTTAGCATTAACAGGTGAGAAAATAAAATAAGTACATTCAAATGGTTATTCCATTATGTGGTGAGAAAGGACAATACACATACATACATACATAGACGTTAATAATAATAATAACCCAGTTAATTCTTATTTATTCGTGTGGCAGCTCAACATCCTAATTCAATTCAATTCAATTCAATTCATGTTTATTTACGTACAACTTAACAGAACAGAGGCCAATTAAAAGGTTAGCATGTGTACAAAGAATTACATAAAAATAATTAAAAAACAAATACAAAATTGAAAGTCTACATAATGACAATAGATTAATAATAATGTCAAGAAAAGTTAAACCTAACGTTAACAGGAGAGAACAATAAAATAAGACCACAAAAACACAAATAATATTAATAGTATCATTAACAAATATTATAAATAATTTTAGGTTCAGTATCATTGACAGAAACTGTTCCGATTGCAAATATGTCGAGATCTTTACCCACCGCGTTGGCAGCATAGGCGCACCGAGCAGAAGGACAGTGTTTATTAGAGGGACAAACACCAAACAATGAGAAGTCCCTAAGATTGCTGGGAGGAACACGAAGGCTAACATTTTCCAAAATAGAAGAGCAGGATTTAAGACCACGAAAGACCTGAACAAGAAAAAGTGCATCAAGGTGATGTCTCCGTTTATGTAAAGATTGCAGACTTAATTTCTCTAAGGCATCAGTATAATTATATGAAATATGAGGGAAAAACGATAAAAACAGACGGACTCAAATTTCTGCTGCACGGTGTAAATACTCTTACTTACATTATGGGCTCACAACAGTAAAGACAACAACCACAGGGCTAGTTTAGAATACAGCATAATGAGAGAACAATTATTTCTAACTTGCACAACAAGCAGAATCATAAAAAAATAACAAAGAAATAATACTATTAAACAATAAGATAAAAAGAAAAGTTGTTTCTGTGTTTTACTAATTAAGCACTGCGACATGAAGACGTATGGGGGACTTGGATGTACAGAGTCACGTTTTCTCTACCTCAACACTGGTTGCAGGTAAGTTCTCAACTTCACGCCCCGCCCGGTACCCATTGGATAGGAGGCTGGGTGGGCCCCATAGCCAGTCTATATCACGTGAAGAAGAGAAAATTTTAACTCTACCGGGACTCGAACTCCGATCTCGGTCGTCCAGCTCGTAGTCATTCGCTATGCCAAGTGCGCTATCCCGGCCATAAACAGTAAGGAATACCTTAAAATAATAATAATATTGTATGTACAATAAATATTAATTGATTAATAGCCATATTCAAACTCACCTACTGGGTTAGATAGTTGTGAGTACTATTAAGCACTGAAAAGAAAGCAGGACGATGTTTATTTGTTCAGCATACTAGTCTACCCTGAAAATGGAGGCAGTACCTCCCTCCGATGTGTGATTGAACTTCAATAACAGTACGCAGTCTAACCACCAAATATAGTGGGACTCTTCCCGGTCACACCTTGAGAATGTCAGATCTCACACATTTCGTTAATTAGCTCGTTAATAATTCTGTCACGTTTCAAATAATGCCATACACGATATGTCCTACGCAATAGTGGTTCTGACGACATAAGAAAGAATTAAAGAAGAAATTTATTTTTATATGCTTAGATTACAAACCAGAGTTTTACAAGAATATGTTTGGAACAATGAAAACTGTGACGTCACATAAAATCTTACGACTTGGTATACGTCTATCTCCCTTGCCCTTACTGGATCTCACTTAGAGCTCAGTCGGCACTCAAAATGAATTACGTTCTTACTAACTGGAAGAAAGGTGTAATAATATCTTAAATTCCCTAGCATTATCTCTGTCATATTAAATTCGTTTTGACTGTCGAGACACACAGAACGTAATAATATAATCCTATTACAAAGTCTCATCTTATTAACGCAGTTCTCTGTATAGCTAATTTTATCGTTGTCTTACGACTTCCTAAATAAAATTATTATTTACAAATGGGAAATAACACGCAATTCATAAATGCATTCTCATGAAATAACTTTACTTGTTCTTCTTTCATTTTCTTTCAAAGATTTAATACTGTATTTCCCACGAAAATTTTCCAGCAGTCACCTCGAAACATCTTACTTTATCTACAAATATTTTAGGCTGTATAGTGAGACCGGTATTAAATGAACGTTAATAGTTACACCATATAAGAGCCGAGATTACGTAATCGATATAGCGACTGACTACGGGCTGGACGACCAAGGGGTCGGAGTTCGAGTCCCGCTAAGTTAAGAATTTTTTCTTCTCCGCTTCGTCAAGACCGACACTGGGGCCCACCCAGCTTCCTATCCAGTGGGTACCGGGGGCTCTTTCCCAGGGGTAAAGCGACAGGTGCATGAAGCTGACCACTCACCTCCAACTAGTGCCAAGGGCAAGAAAATATGGATCTATACAACCACATCCCCATGCTCTTTCATGGCGTAGTGCTTAATCAGTTAATCACAGGGACAACTTTACCCTTTACTTTCCAATAGGTACACCATATAGTGATCAGTTTTGTGCACACATTCCACTAATAAGCCTATAAATTCTGATTAGGTTCAAGGTTTCAAATATAATCCTAAAGGTTAGGAACTTCGCCCAGTTTGTAATCAATGAGATATGGTTAGCATGCCTGTAGTGTTCATACATATGTTTACGGTCTATCGGTGGAACCTCGCTTAACGAGCATAATTCGTTCCAGAATCTTACTCGTAATGCGAAACACTCGTTAAGCGAAAAATTTCTCCAATATAAATTAATGTAAAATACGATAATGCGTTCCATGCCGAAAAAATACTAAAAAAATTTATGTATAAAGTTTATTCAAAGAAAATTATATATATATTATTAAGGAGCGTGAATCATCATCATCTTTTCTTCTATGAGGAATGAACCAACCTGGAATGCGAATTCGATTTGCAGCAAACAAAAAAAAAATCCATATGAGGAGCAACCTTTCAACATTGTCAAGAATACGTAACCGTAGCGTAGATATTCTTGTCTTGTCCTGAAGCATCTATCTCCTTAATCTTGTCCTTGTTCTTGAGGATAGTGCAAATCGTTGATGTAGACCGACTGTATGTGCGTGCTAGATCAGCCACGCTCACACCTCGTTCTCGCTTTTCAATTATTTTACGTTTCATTTCTATGGTTATTTTTATTCTCTTGTGGCTGTCTTTTTGCGGCTTTTCCTTCGGGGACATTTTTGCAAGGGTTATTAAACTTTGCACAAAAAAAAGTCACAAATAATATGTCTGAACACAAGTTTGGAAAAATGTGTCATCACCAGCGACACTAAGATGCTAGCTGAACGAGTGCTAAACACAGACTGATGTAGCAAGCGCACAATCCGGGACTTCCCCTCTCGTCACTCGTTATGCGAAACGTCGATCGTTAAGCGAGTCTTTTTTTTTTTTTTTACAATTTGTTTTGCTCGTTATGCGAATTACTCGTTATGAGAGGTGCTCGTTAAGCGAGGTTCCACTGCTGAACTATATATATATAGGCAGGTCACGGTAGCCGAGCGGTCTAAGGCATGCACTGTCTTCGCTCGCTTGGAAACCGCGATCGTGGGTTCGAATCCCACTCAGGGCATGGATGTTTAGT